CGGAGAGATTTCAAGAACTATCTTAACCACAAGCGCAAAGAAATGATATTGGAAAATCTTGTGATTCATCTCAAGATTGAGGAAGACAACAAAACAGCCGAGAAGAATTCTCGTGAAAATTCAACGATCATGGGAGCTAATATCGTTGAGGAGACTGCTCCAAAAAGTAAGAAGAGAAAGAGGTCTTCTGGACAGACTAAGGAGCAGAACAAAAAGAAATTCAAGGGTAGCTGCTACAATTATGGAAAAATCGGTCACAAAGCCCCTGATTGTCGTCTCCCGAAAAAGTATAAGAAGAAGGGACATGCCAACATAGTGGAGAAGAATGATGACATTGATGATCTGTGTGCAATGCTTTCGGAATGCAACCTAATTGAAAATTCGAAGGAGTGGTGGATTGACTCTGGAGCCATTCGACATGTTTGTGCTGTCAAGGAAGCATTTGTGACTTACTCTACTGCTGGTCCCGAAGAAGAGCTTTCCATGGGAAATACTGCAACAGCCAAGATTAAAGGTTATGGGAAGATATTCCTGAAGATGACTTCCGGCAAGGTGTTAACGCTCAACAACGTTCTTCATGTTCCTACTATTAGGAAGAATTTAGTTTCTACTTCTTTGCTTGTTAAGAATGGATTCAAATATGTATTTATTTTTGATAAAGTTGTTGTAAGCAAGAATGAAATGTATGTTGGAAAGGGCTACCTCACAGAGGGCCTCTTCAAACTAAATGTAATGGTTGTTGACAGTATGAATAAAATTGCAGCTTCTTCTTATTTATTGGAGTCAAATGATTTATGGCATATTCGTTTAGGACATGTCAATTACAAAACCTTGCGAAAGTTAATTAATTTAGAAGTGTTGCCTAAATTCGAGTGTAATAAATCAAAATGTCAAATATGTGTTGAGTCTAAGTTTGTAAAACATCCTTATAAGTCTATTGAAAGGAATTCAAATCCTTTAGACTTAATTCATACTGACATTTGTGATATGAAGTCGACACCATCTCGAGGTGGGAAAAAGTATTTTATTACTTTTATTGACGACTGCACTCGATATTGTTATGTTTATTTGCTTAATAGTAAGGATGAAGCAATTGAAGCATTTAAGCAATACAAGAATGAAGTGGAGAATCAATTGAATAAAAAGATCAAAATGATTAGAAGTGATAGGGGTGGAGAATATGAATTTCCATTTGCAGAAATATGTTCGGAATATGGAATTATCCATCAAACTACTGCACCTTACACACCTCAATCCAATGGAATTGCGGAAAGGAAAAATCGGACATTAAAGGAAATGATGAATTCTTTATTAATAAGTTCCGGATTACCGCAGAGTTTGTGGGGCGAAGCTATCCTTACATCTAACCGAATACTCAACATAGTACCCCACAGCAAAACACAATCTATTCCATATGAAAAATGGAAAGGAAGAAAACCCAACTTGAAATATTTTAAAGTGTGTGGGTGTCTAGCAAAAGTAAAAGTTTCTTTACCTAAAAGGGTTAAAATCGGACCAAAAACTATTGATTGCATTTTCATTGGATATGCTACAAACAGTAAAGCATGCCGGTTTTTGGTTCATAAATCCGATAATCCCGAAATTCACGTTAATACGGTAATGGAATCAGATAATGCTGAATTCTTTGAAAGCATCTATCCGTATAAAACTGAATGTGAGTCTTAAGTGAAAGACCTAAACGACCTGAAGAACCAAAGGAAAATACTCCAAGTATAGAAGATCCAAGGCGTAGCAAGCGTCAAAGAACATCTACTTCCTTTGGACCAGATTTTGTGACATTCTTGCTTGAAAATGAGCCTCAAACTTTTAAAGCAGCTATGTCATCTTCTGATTCAGCATTTTGGAAAGAGGCAGTCAATAGTGAGATTCAATCAATTTTGGATAACCATACATGGGAATTGGTAGATCTTCCTCCGGGAAATAAGCCTTTAGGTTCGAAATGGATCTTTAAACGGAAAGTGAAAGCTGATGGCACTATTGACAAATATAAGGCAAGACTTGTTGTCAAAGGTTATAGACAAAAGGAAGGCCTTGATTACTTTGACACTTACTCGCCAGTAACGAGGATAACATCTATTAGGGTGTTAGTGGTACTAGCGGCCGTGTATGGTCTTGAAATCCATCAAATGGATGTTAAAATAACTTTCTTAAATGGAGAATTAGAGGAAGAGATTTACATGGAATAACCTGAGGGTTTTGTGGTAACTGGTAAAGAAAAAAAAGTGTACAAACTTGTTAAGTCTATTTATGGACTTAAACAAGCACCCAAACAATGACATGCTAAATTTGACCAAACAATGTTGGCAAGTGGGTTAAAAATCAACGAGTGCGACAAATGTGTTTACATTAAAAACACTCCAGGTCATGAAGTCATTATTTGTTTATATGTTGATGACATGTTGATAATGAGCAAAAACATGGCAGATATAAATGCTACTAAGCGCACGTTGGTTAGCAAATTTGATATGAAAGACTTAGGAGTTGCTGATGTGATCTTAGGAATCAGAATTCACAAGACTCGACAAGGTCTAGCATTATCGCAGTCTCACTACATTGAAAAGGTACTTGACAAGTTCAAGTATTTGGATTTCAAAATTGCCAAGACTCCAATTGACGTGAGTTATGCACTTCAAAAGAATAAAGGTGAAAGTGACTCACAACTGGATTATGCAAGAGTATTGAAAAGTTTGATGTATATCATGAATTGTACACGACCAGATATAGCATGTGCTATTAGTAAACTGAGTCGGTTTACAAGTAATCCCAATCACATACATTGGATGGCAATGAAACGAGTTTTGGGGTATCTCAAACATACCCAAAATTACGCTTTGCATTATAACAAATATCCCTCCGTGATCGAGGGATATAGTGATACAAATTGGATCACTGGATCATCTGAAGTTAAATCCATGAGTGGATATGTTTTCACAATTGGGGGTGGAGCAGTGTCTTAGAAATCCTCCAAACAAACGTGCATCGCCCGTTCTACAATGGAATCTGATTTCATAGCTTTAGATAAGGCCGGTGAAGAAGCTGAATGGCTCCGGAATTTCTTGGAAGATATTCCATTTTGGCCCAAACCTTTGGCACCTATTTGTATACATTGTGATAGTCAAGCGGCAATAGGCAGGGCAGGGAGCGTTATGTATAACGGAAAATCTCGTCATATACGACGGAGACACAATACCGTTAGACAACTACTCTCTAGTGGTGTTATCACAATTGACTACATAAAGTCAAGAGATAACGTGTCGGATCCACTTACAAAAGGCCTATCTAGAGAGGCAGTTGAAAGATCATCAAAGGGAATGGGGTTAAGGTCTAGGACAAATCATCATGACGGTAACTCTACCTAGCAGACTGAAGATCCCACGAGCTAGCTTCAAAGAGATCAAACAAAGTTATGAATGACGGTTCAACATTGTCAAATAACTCAACCCATTCTCGTGATGAAGACAATGTTCAGAAATTGAGGTAAAGCATTAAGGCTTTTTGATGAGTCAACAAAGCTTAAAGGGTTTTTAATGATTTGCTAAGTCTGGCTGGATATGACCAGATAGTGTGTCTACAANAAAGTTCAAAGAGAAACCTACTTATCCAGATGCAATTAATTCTTGCATGTAAAACACACACGCGCACGTGCATTCCTTTATTTTATAGCCATTCCCCATTCATGTGGGGGATTATTTGGGATTTTAAGCTTGTGTAGCTTAAAGAGAGTGAATGAGAAATGGAGGAAAAATGAAATATTTGAGTTTCCCTTGGTAAAGGGACATTGTCCCATATCGGAGGAAGAAAAAGATTTTGATGGGTATATATATAATTGCTCTTCTTCTAGCTCTTAAAGAGTTAAAAAAAAAGGCAAGCCTCGCGCCGTCGTCGTCATCGCTCGCTCGTCTCGGCTTCGGCTTCAGTCAAAGATCGATTGATTGATTCTTTTTGGACAAAATTCCTTTCAATTATTTAATTAATTAAATAAATAATTAACAAAAAATTCAATCCGGAATAACCCATGACCCGCGACCCGGTTCGGTCAGGCCCGTTTTCTTTTTCGGATTATTTTAAATATATTTTTCCCGCAATATTTCAAACAACCCTTTTCCAACAGCCATGACTGTTTCTGAAAGGTTGCAAACCTTTTCAGAAACAATGCCAGCAACTCTATAAATAGAATTTGAATCCCAAAATCTTTCCTTACGAAATTTTCTGAGCTTCTTCTTCTTCTTTTTCTTCTGCACAATAAATTCCAGTGTATTTTACAGCCTTCGAGTGACTCGCTGTTCACCGGCGTTTTGGTACCAACACTCCGGTGAGTTAAATCGTTCTATCCTGGGAGGATATATTCCAGCACCTCGGGTACTTGAGGGGAATAATTTTCTTAAGGACACACTGTGTATTCAGTGGGCTCGATTTATTCCTATACTGTTTTTGTTTTTCCAGAATTTATTTCGTTAAACAAGTATTACTAACTTTCTGTTTTGTTTTTCTAGAAAGTTTAATTGTTTATTACAACAATACAGAATTATAACAATTTGAACACAGAATACATATGATTTTTTTTATGGGCTATTTGGATGGTCGTTAACCATGATTTTATAATGTACCATATTGTACAATATTATATTGTACTGTATTAATAAATTATATCGTTTGTTGTGTTTTAATAATATTTTTATGAGTAACCACGCAAAAATCACCAAATCCATGGTTACAAAAATTGAGCTTTTTCATAGTTATATAACAACGAAATTGCAATGGATTTATAACACCTTACAAAATAATTTTAAGAACAACTACAACGAATATGATATTAATAAAAATAATACAATAATGAACCAGGGAAAACAATCATGCAAACATGGTAAAAGAGAGAAAATGAATTGCCAACTTAGAGCGCGTTTGGTATATTAAATTTGTGATTAAATTTGATATATAAAATTGTAGTAGGGAGTACGGAGTAACTAATCCGGGATAATTAAATTCCGGGTAAACTTATTTCCAACCAAACGAAAAAACAAAAGAAAAAAAAATGTATGCTCCGGATCTGCAGAACTTGGAACTCGCAAGGACAGAGAGCAAAGGCGCAGAGTGAAAGTGATAGCGTGCAACCTCAGTGTCCATGGCTAATCAATTGAAGAAGCTGAAACAGCCTTCTTCGTCATTTCTCTCTCCATCTTGCCTATTTCTCTCTCTACTCTCTCTCACTTCTCTCTTCCTCGCTTTCTCTCTCTTCAACACCTCATCTCAAAGCACTCCATCGAAGAGCAAATTGTTATACTCCAACTCCTGCAACTTCACCCACGGCCAATGGATTTACGAACCGAGTATCAAGTCCCCGCGCTACGACGACAGCTGTAAGGAGATCTACAAAGGATGGAGTTGCATTGGCAGTAAAAAATCCAATGCTCTTGACATTGTTAAGTGGCGCTGGAAACCCTATCAATGTGATTTCCCTCAATTCGATCCTCTCTCATTTCTTCACCGCTTCAAAAACACCAATATCGGTACTTCTCTTTCTCACCACTGCTAATTTTGTTTTCCTCTGAGCTGTGAAATGTAAGAAATTCTGCATCACGAAAGTTTGTGTAACTTTGCTTTAGCGAATAATTTAAAATCATGAATATTGTTGATCCTCTTGTTTCTCTGTTTAGCAGAGAGCCGGATACAGGATTTAAATATAGTGGTGAACTTAATATATATACAAAAAACATTTTAAAAAAAAGAATTTCATTAAATTTGTGTGTGTATGATATAATATATAATGTATGTATATAGTTCGGTCCGAGACAGTTACTGCCTCCGCGGCCTATATACTAGATTCGCCTCTAGTTGATCCCATTGTAACTTCTCTGTTATAGTTGATTCAAATTGTGATGATAGTTGATGACGGGGATAATATTTCATGGCAACAAGTTTTTTGAAACCTAATTTTGTTTTGTTTTAGTTTCTGACTGGTCTAGTGGTACAGTTAGAACTTATGGATGTTAAACAGTGCAGGGTTTGTTGGGGACTCCTTAAACAGGAACATGTTTGTTTCACTTTTCTGCACTTTGAAGCGGGTCTCTGGCGAGGTGAAAAAGTGGCGCCCTGCTGGGGCTGATCGTGGTTTTACCTTTCTAAAGTACAACCTTACTATCTCGTATCATCGGACAAATCTTCTGGCTCGTTACGGTAGGTAAGATTTAAGAAGTTATTTTCATATTTGTTAATGTAATTATAATCATGTTATTTTGACAGATTGGTAGTCTAGGCAGCGTGCGTCTGTATTACTGGTAATCAATACTTCAGTTTTTGCTGTTATTCTTCTGCTTATTTAATTACTGTGTGCCATGTGCATCTCATGATATTGTCTTCCCTAGGGGGAATAAGGTAGAAGTGATGCTATCAACTAGTTTTTGACAGAATTATAGAGAGGAAGTGTACACTGTAGATCATGGATTTTATCCCCTTATCTGTGTGACTTCTTTAGTTAAATGTTGAGGAAAGTTGGAGTTAGAAAGCATGGTTTCTGGTAACTCAAGATTTCTGGGTCTACTCATCTACGAATAGCAGTGAACTTTCTTACTCATGAATAAACAGTTTCTTATGGGTTCATTGTTAAATTACAGAATGACGTATTACGGCTAACATACTCCCTGTAATTTGTATGATATAGGTGGTCAGCCAATGCCAATGGAGGGGTACTGGAATCTCTTGGATATAAGGAGGGTTATAGAGTGGATGTTGATGTACCAGAAGGAACATGGGCGGAGGCACCGAGTTTCCACGACATTCTCATCTTTAACACGGGTCACTGGTAAGGTTGTTTCTTTGTGTATCACTTCAGTTAAGATTCCTTCATGTGAATGTTGAGACTGCTTTTGCTGTTCTGTGTTAGCAAACTATGACATGGTTAATACTTTTTTTGAGAAAGATATGGTTAAGACTTGATGTTCAATTTAACGTAGTATCTTTGGGTCTGACCAATTGGTGTACTTAACTATGTTGATGGGATTTTTTTTTTCACCTATGTTGATGGGAGCACTAGTAATTTTTTCTACCTATGTTGATGGGATTAGCTCTAGTCATATTGTACTTCATTTTGTGCTAACTTGCAAAAGGAACCAAAACTCGGTTTATCCATTCTCTTTTTCAGTTGTCTGTGGATCCACAAGCTTTACCAATGGGAAAGAAAAGCACATCGTAGTGATGTCCAGAGGCCTTGGGAAGTACAAGATTAACAAAACAAGTAAAACTTTTGTTTCCGGCATTTCAAGTTGTAAAAACTACAAACAATTAAAAGAAATATCACTTCTCAAAACTTCCCATTGGAGAGAGAGACAACCACCAATTAAACGAGAGCTAGGAAAATTGTTCAGTGTTGCCTTTTGATCTTTATTGATTATTATAAATACAAAAAGAGTGACCAAAGAATAGAGTGGAAGGGAAGAAAACAAGTAGCAGTTTTGAGGGTATGGTCACCTATTAACTCCCAGATTTTGTTATATGTTCTCACCGGGCAGGTCCTGTGTCTGAGCTCTTTGGTATTTGCTGATTTTTACTATAATTGCATCCTTTGATTGTGTTGAAATCCTCCTGATGATCCATAATAGATCTTTAGTTTCCAAATCAAAGGTCACCATCAATGAGTGCTTTCTCCTCCTTGCCTCCCCTGAAAGTTCACAAACCATTGAGAGTTGCCTTGCGTGCACTCTGATATTTCAAGTTTTATCACAACATATATATTGAATTATAGGTGCCGAGTCGAGGCATCTCAGCACCTAAAGTTTCTTAAGTTTATGTTTTATTTCAACACCTATAATTTCTTAAATCTCGGTATCTCAGGGCCAATAATTTCGTAGATAGCATTGTAACTTTAATTTCTTAACTTGATGTTTATGGCCCAAGGAGGTGGATTTTATCTGGCATCAGGGTTCAGGTGACCTGCTGTTATTTTGAGCTGACATTCTGTTAGCCTCAATTACTGCATCTTTATGTAGTTTTTTCCCTTTAATTATTTTTACTTTGATTGGTGATTACTTATCTTGCTCCATTCTTCTGTTAGGTGGTGGGCTCCTTCAAAGTTTGATCCAGTAAAGTCACCCATGCTTTTCTTTGAAAAGGGCAATCCTGTGGTGCCTCCAGTGTCCCCTGACAGGGGACTTGATATGGTATTAAAGCATATGGTACTGTTCTGTCCTACTCTTGTGGGTTATCTATAAAGAATAGACAAGCTTCATTTATAGATATGCATTTGATATGCCTTGTGAGACGTTATTCTTTATACTGATGTGAAAATTAGTGCTTTAAAATGCTTCTACTAAGTTGGCCTTCAGGCAACGTGATTGTGCAAATCTTTCAGAGAAGGCAACGTGAAGCTATTCTATGCTGTGCTCTTGTTATTATATCCATTTGTTAATCAGTATTTTGATAGTATCTCATCATGCTAATAGTTTCATAGGGCTTATGTGTTATATTACAGTATGCATGTATAGTTTCCTAGGAGTTACACCTTACCTTAAATGTTGATGGAAAGAACTCACATATTCTCTTCAGCCCCCTTCAGACACTATAACTTCAGTTGCTTGTATACAATGTTGTCAAAGGCGCGCTTAGAGCGTGCTTAAGCCCTGAAGCGAGGCTCAAAACACGTTGAGCGCTTTGCCTCTCTTTGTGGGCGCTTTAGTGTCGCATCAAAGCTCTAAGGCATACATTTCCTTGCTAAAGAGTGTAATCCTGAAAAGGCGACCTTCACCAATTGATATTCACTTTATTGTGAATTATTTTTTAATTTCTTTGTCCATATAATTGTTATTCGTGCTTATAATGATTAGTCTTGGACTACATGCATATTTTTACTTTTTCTCCCGTTGCGTCTTTTTTTATTAAAGCCCACGCTTTATTTGCGCTTAAAGCCCCAACGGACCTTAGAGCTTTTTTGCGCTTTTCGCCTTTGATAACACTACTTGTATATGCCTCAGAAGTTTACATATGCTTCTTCTCTGAGCTTCATTGTGTGTTGTTTCTACTAGATATCTTATGTGGATAAAAAAAGGCGACCGAGCACGACATTGTTCATGCGAACCCAATCCCCACGGCATTTTGAAGGAGGAGACTGGGACCAAGGTGGCTCTTGCCAGCGCTCGCGGCCTCTCTCGCCTCAAGAAGTAACTCTCTCTATTTAACATAATCTGTATTTCTAACTGCGAAAAAAGAAAAGAAGAAAAAACTCTAGTTTACTTGGTGTTTCAGGCAACCTAGTATTGTTGGAAAACACTTGCCTCTTTTCCCTTTTCTATTATAATTGCTTCCACGTTCAACTGGACACTTCTATCTCCACCTTGCTCTATGTGATATAGGTTGCTGAAAGTTATGCCTTTGTGTTGTGTTCTATTTTTGCAGGTGGACGAACTCTTTTCCCTTCAAAACAACGGAACAAATGTGGAGAGTCGCCTTGTGAACCAGCACCTATACAAGGCCTTTGAAGGCACTAGATTTCACATGCTGGACATAACTCATATGAGCGAGTTCAGAGCAGATGCCCATCCATCTACAGCAGGTGGCAAGAAACATGATGATTGCATGCACTGGTGCTTACCAGGAATTACTGATACCTGGAATGACTTGTTTGTAGCATATTTAAGCAATATCAAAGACAGGACCTAAGTTAGGATAATTTAATTCTTTTTCTAGAATTCTTTGCTGTTAGTTTGATACAATTTTCTCCCCTTAAGGGAATTTTGTTAGAACTTGGTTGTGTACATCTCTCCTCTATACTAATAGTTAGCATCTGGAAAAGCTCAATTTTCATGCCTAATCCTGAACTTCAGTATGCATACTTCCAATGGATTCCTTTCTATCCCATTCTTTAAAAATACACAGAAGACAGCCACCAGCCCCTTCTCACAACTCGAAGATAATTGTGCACCTGATACATTTTTGCTAGTAAATTACAAAAAATTGTTCAGTCTGTAGAAAGACGTTGAATCATTTCCTCTCTTCTGACCCAATTGGTCAACTTGTATAAAGTTACTGTTTAAGCAGTCTATACCTCTTATTCCCTTTCCAAGAATGTTTTCTCATTTATTGATAAGGGTCTGAGATACACTTTGAATATGCATTATCAGTTGCCTCAGATTTTTAACTCCCGAGATTCTTGAGGAAACAATGGTGGAAAATCACCCGCTGATGGCGTCGTTGACTGTACCTTTTATTAGTCATGCAATCCCCTTTCTATCAGTTTTTTTTCTATTGTTTGAAAAACTCAAAGAAGGTAGACGAGAAAGACAAAGCAGTATAATTTTCCATGGTAATAATTAGGGGTTACTTTACTCTTGCACGTTGCAACTGATGACTTTTGTGTCCACAAGGCACTAATTTTCCTCGGCCTTTGCGTAATATGCATTTATATGCTAATCAATTCCAAATTTTACAGCGTGATTTCGGCATATATTATCTCCTTAATCTGTGGTTCATGCCATGAAAAATCAACTTTTTTGACTCAAATTACTCCCACGATAGCACATTCGATGTGTGGACTATTAGTGTAGGAAGAATATCTTATCTGCATTCTAACTTTGCACAAAACTAATGTGTGAGATATACGTTTTTCACGAAAACTTTTGTCAAGTAATCGCAGTTAATGAATATTCTTTCATACCTCAATTTGTCAACTTCATCATGTTTGGCTTGGTATATCCCATGAAGTGTATCCTCATTCTTGTTTAAACTAATTAATTCGTGCAAAACTACAAACTAAAAAAATCTCGATGGAAGAAAATAAGCATTTAAGCTACATACGCAGCAAAAATATACAAAACATTACAATAGTATTGCAGTTTAGTTAGTATCTTGTTTTTTCATGTTATATTTTCCATAGACAGGTGCATAAGTTGTTCTTTTTATATAAAAAGAATCACATATGGTAGTGTACAAACATTAAACCCCAACAATAATGTATGTTCCTCATTCTCTCTTTTGGTGGTAAAACAATGGGCTCCTTGCCTGTCTTTTTCAGTTGACAAAGGTTTCGATTTTGCTTAGCAAATGAAATATGTATATTCGGCATGTGAACTTCTATCTTTGTCAAGTCATGCAGAACGTTAAATACAATTTTCAATCCTATACTCTCATTTTTTAATGGTGCTAATTTCTCAAAAGCCCACATTCACGGGCTAGCCATAAGCTTTCTTCCCCGATTCTTTTCTCCTTTTTGTCAAGAAGTTCCTATAAATACCAAGCCATCTCACTTCTCCAACTCACAAACACAATCATCTTCTCCATTTCCACCAAATTTGCCTTCAAAAGCAAAGAAAAAGGAAATGGAGATCTCAAAAACAACTTTTATTGTGTTCATGGTTTTAGCCATGGCCCATTCTTCATTAGCCCAAAACACTCCCAAAGATATCGTTATTGTCCACAACAAAGCCCGTGCAGAAGTTGGTGTCCCACTCCCACCATTAAAATGGAACAACACACTTGCTTCCTATGCCCATGACTATGCCACCACAAAATTAGCTGAATGCAAATTAGTACATTCTGATGGACCCTATGGTGAAAATCTTGCCATGGGCTACGGCGAATTTTCGGCGGTCGACGCCGTTAACCTATGGGTAGGAGAGAAACCAAACTATGAATATGCAACAAATTCTTGCAATAGTGGGATGTGTGGGCATTATACTCAAGTGATATGGCGTAACACACTTCAAGTTGGATGTGCTAGATTGAAATGCCAGAATGGTGAAGCATGGTTTGTGTCATGCAACTATTATCCCCCTGGAAATTACATTGGAGAACGTCCTTATTGATTAATATAATTAAAATGGTTTTAATATATTAATTTCATTCCATGCAAGTATATATATGTTACGTTCCAATTTTCAACATGTAATAGGGGAGGTTGTCTTAGCTAGCCCTGCGATCGTCGATCAGTTTTGTGGAAAACAAAAAGGAATATAAGGACTAATTTTGGATATAATGACGATCTAGATCCCTTATTAATTTTCGCGGGTTTTAAATAATAGGGACTTTATATATATATATATATATATATATATATATGATAATACGTTATTCTATTGTCATCACGATGAGAGTCTAATTCTGGGTAACAATAAAAGGTCTCAACCTGAAAATCGCCTATGCTACAATATGAATAATATCATATTCTGTTCCAATGTAATATACCTAAAGTTTATACATTATCTTCTCTGAATTTACATTTACATGATAGTAACTAATATTACTACTTTCATTTCAGGTGTAACCTTAATAATATTTGTTTATAAAACCATATGCATTATAAATATCTAATTACTATAATTAAGTGTTTGAAAAAGGAGGATCAACTTCAGTACTTCTTTCACTGTTAAATATAAAAAGAATTAACTTAATTAGCCGCTCGCCTTTTAAATCGTATAAACTAAAAATAGCCGGTGGATATATAATATAAGTATAATCAATATATAATACGTGTATAACACATATGTGCAAATAGTAAAAGTTTTATAGTGTATAACTTGTAGTTTCCAAACAACCCAATTCTTGCTGCTAAGGATAATGTTGAATTCCACCATTGATGAGTGGAGAAAGCTCAAACGAAGAATCAAAGAAGAAGAAACAATGGAGGGAAATTCTGTTATAACCGCTTTTTTGAAAAAATGAATAGTGCCTACACTACTGTACACATATATATAGAACTTAACTTTTATAACTAACTGCTAACATAATTAATTAGACAGTTGTACACTAACTATTAATCACGTGTTTATTTCAACACCTCCCTTCAAGCTAGGTGTGGTGAAGATATCTAGAACGCCTAGCTTGGACATCAATTGATAATGATGAGTAGTTCCTAGGCCTTTAGTGAGCAAGTTTGCTTCTTGTTCCTCTGTTGGCACATATGTAGGGTGTATCAGTCCTTTCTGTACCTTCTCCCTTATGTAATGGCAATCAATTTCTATATGTTTGGTTCTCTCGTGAAACACTGGATTGTTGGCAATATGCATAGCTGCTTTGCTGTATGTATGAAGCTGAATTGGAGTCGAAATCTCTACTCCCAATTCTCTAAACATTCCTATTAACTAGATTAGTTCAGACACCGTCAAGGCCATGCTTCTATACTCTGATTCTGCTGAACTTCTTGCTACTGTGGTATGTTTCTTCGACTTTCAAGATATCAGTGATCCACCAAACTTGACTAGGTACCCAGTAACTGACTTTCTTGAATTAGGACAGCTTGCCCAGTCTGCATCACAGTATGCATTGAGTGTCATGTTGCCAGCTACACTCATAAGGATCCCAAGTCCAGTCTCATTCTTAACATATCTCACTACCCTATATGCTGCTTCCAGGAGAGATTGTTTGGGAGCTTGCATGAATTGACTTAGGGTCTGCATAGTATAAGCAATGTCAGGTCTTGTCAAGGTTAAATACAAGAGCTTTCCAACCAATCTATGGTAACCCCTCATATCTGTCAGTGTTGGATCATCATCCAGATTACAATGTTCATCATACTCAACAGTTGTTAGCCTTATGTTTGCTCCAGTGGTGTGATAGCATGCTTAGCACCTGCCAATTCCAACTCTGCTATGAGCTCTAGGGCATATTTCCTCTGGCATAAGAGGATTCCCTTTTAAGATCTACATACCTTAATGCCTAGGAAATATTTCAAGTTTCCCAAGTCCTTGATTTAAACACTTTGTGCAATTGGCCTCTTGAATCATTGTAGTGTCACTGTCTGTGATGAGAAGATCATCAACATACACAAGTATGATGACCTGTCTGCCATTTTCTCCTTTGGTGAACAATGAATAGTCATGTTTACTTTGTATAAAACCTGCTTGCAAAAGAGCTTATGTGAGCTTCAAGTTCCATTGTCTTGAGGCTTGCTTTAGCCCATAGAGAGACTTAAGCAATCTGTAGCCCTTAGTGTTCCCCCCTTGGCTGCTAAAACCGGGTGGCAACTGCATATAAACCTTTTTTTCAAGGTCACCTTGAAGAAAGGCATGATAAACATCCATTGGCCATTGATGCATAACAACTAATGCAATGACAACTCGAATTGTGACTATTTTAACAACTGGAGAGAATGTTTCTTAGTAGTCCAGACCTTCTTGCTGGTCGTATCCCTTTGCAACAAGTCTGGCTTTGAATCTTTCAACCTCTCCATTAGACTTGTACTTGATTTTATACACCCACCTGTATCCAATAGGACACCTTACCTTTAGGGACATCAACTATCTCCTAGGTGTTGTTCAGTACCAATGCATCAACTTCTGCCTTCATGCCTTTAATCCACCTTGGATCCTTCATGGCTCATGTGATGTTGCAGCTAAGTAAGACTGGTAGGTGGCTGAAAGGGCACTATAATTAAGATAACCGGACATTGGATATATGCAGTTGGATGAAAAAGCTCCATTAACTGGGCAGACATAATCTTTTATCCAAATAGGTGGTCTGGAACCCCTAGTAGACCTCCTAGGTTGTGTAGCTGGGATCTTCTCAACAGCTTCAGCAACTGGTACCTGAACATTGTGGTTTGGATCAACTGCTATGAGGTTGTTTTCCTCTTGAACCAACTCCTGATCATGCACTATGCCCTAATTGATAGCAGGTCCTTGTTCATGCATGTGAGTTTGTTGCTGGTGCAAAGGCTGACTTCCTTATTGCCCATTCTTCAGCTCTAGAAATACACGAGGATGTGTTCCATTCCTTGCCAGTTGGAAAGGGAAAATATCGTCCTTGAAGGTGACGTCTCTACTGACAAAAAACCTTATACTTCTCAGATCATACAACCTGTATCCCTTCTGAGACACT